TGTCAAATTCTTATAAACATAATTATTTCACTCTCATGATGGTGTGTGTGTCAGTGTCCCTTATGCAAAGAAATATAATTGCTTAAATAATAAATTCTTATATATTTTTATGATATTTTTAGATGTTAATGACTAAAATGACTAAAATGATTGATTATTATCGAAATAAAATATCTCTTACAGTCACGATACAAAAGACTAATTTATCTTATCTTAAAAACATAGAATATGGAGATAATGAGCAGTATTCAATATCAAAGTCCATAAAACAATACAAAATAAGAGCAGAACAAACACAAACCTCCAAAACATCAGAGGTGGGATCAGGTGCCACTGAGGAGTGAGCATCCCCTGCCGATAGGTCACACCCGCCTTGTGCTCCTTATTTGTCATGATCGTGAAATAACGGAAAAATCTGTCATCAATTCAGTGTATAAATAATGGACTAACAATTCATATGAAAATTAAATTAAACGTCAGTCAGCATTACACATATTGTAAATCAATATGATTTACAATATGTAAATCAACTGTCAATTGCTTTTCTTGGCTGTACAGCATTTTAAGTCACATAGTATTATAATATGATAATAAGGACTTTCAAGTAGGCATAATTCTGCTTCAGACATAATCTTAGTTTCTAGGTTTATTTTTCCAGGGAAATTCAGCTTCATTGCATTTTTTCGCCCCAAATCCCTGCTTGATGCAGTGGTTAGAGTGTCTGCTCTAAAGTCGCGAGGCAAGGAGTCAATCCTTATATCACAAGTTCGAATCCCACTGTGGGACTTGGAGACCGGTCCTTTGGATGAGACTGTATAAACTGAGGTCCTTTATCACAGTAGATGCTGGCACAAAAAAGATCCGTCAGCAATTAGATAACCTTATTTTGACACAGAATTGACTCTGATTTTACTTTGTCAGTGTACATCGAGTGTACAACAGTGAAAACTATATGCATCATATCTAAAACTTTTCTTGTGTAGTGTCAAAACCCCCACCTCCCCATCTGAATCTGTGTACCTGTTTTATAATTTTTGTGATAAATAAATGTATGTGCTTGTAGTTATCATCATGAACATTTAATAAATAAGAGGAAAAATAATCTTTTGCAAAGCACTGAATAGCACAATATTATGGCCAACTGATTACTAATTTAAAATGTTCAAATCCTGTTCAAATACACATACAATTTAATTTTGCAAAATTTGTTTTGTAAACTTTGCTTAAATTGGGTATTAAAAGTTATTTTATAGCAATATACTGGAGGGACTAGTTCGCTAAATAAAGACAAATTTTAAAGATTTAATCTTTAATAATGATGAATAACATGTACACCAAATGAACATTGATAAATTTACTTTTGGCATCTTACATGTGACTTTTCTTATGCAAATTTATATGCAAGCAAGCTACAGAATTCTAAAATTTGAGGAATAAATTTAATCTGTTAATGATTCTTTACAATGATAGTGTAGCTTGGTAATTAAAGGCATATTGGAACATAATTTTTAGGTAAACTCAGTAATATATATATATATATTAAACTGCATTCAGTTCAATGAAAAATGAAGAAGATCATGCAGATGTATGACTGTAAGTGTTGGAGTTTTTCTCTCTCACGGCCAGGAACACGTTAAGTTCCAAGACAGTACCGTTGTCAGAAACATTTAAAGATAAGCACTAAAAATGGCTCGTTGTCATGAAAATACAGGTAAGGTTATGACAAAAACTGTCCGGTGTCATTACTTTAGAAGACAGGTCGTGAGCAGTTTTTCATTTTTAAAATTAAATAATTTCAACTAATGTCTGAAATTGCAATGGGGAACAGGACTGACATTCCTTTTGGTGTTGTATGAATTTCAGCCGTTAAAATGAAGTAATATAAGAGGAGTTTGCGTTGGCGATATTAAACCTTGGTGAAATCAAACGTGGATTTCATTCATTTTCCTTCTGAGATGTTATATTTTTTGTAAATAGAATATCATATATATACCAATTGATGCAGTCAGTATCAAGACATGTTATAAGCATTTACGGGAAAAAATAAAACAAATTAAAACTGAAATATTTGATTTATTATAATTTATGTCCGTTGTCATGACAAGATACGAAAATTCAGTCCGTTGTCATCGGTCCGTTGTCGCTACTTTATTGTACGTATACACTATGAAGGAGGTCGATTTTAGTTTGTTTTAATGCGTTGATAAATTTCAAACATGCCTTCAATAAATGGGTGAACTAATTAGTCATAAGAAACTAAACGTATGCTATTTTCTATATTTCATATAATGTTCAGCTTTTGTTTGTCATACATATGGGCTTCAGCCTTTTTCCTTAAAAAACTAATTTCAAAGTGAAGAAGGAAATATGCTCGCTAACTCTCGATTCCTGCCTACATTTTGCACTCATTCTGTTTAATATTAATGGCCATAAATTCGTTTTTAATACAAAGAACAGTTAAGTGGTAATTGATGAATTGTTTTGATACCAGCGCTAAATAGTGAATTATCCCTATTTCAAGCTCTTAAAAAAAGGGGGGGGTTAATGATATTCTCCATTGAAAGATAACCATATTTTGAAATAGTCTTGTATATGATTAAATGTTCCTAGTATATTTTGTTTTTTTTTCGGCAAAGAAATTATAAAAATAAATGTATTAATAAAATGTAATGTTTAAGTTGTAAATCGCTTCGAAATTGGTGAAAAAAATTGCATTTAAATATCAGCCGGACAGTGCAGTAAAAAATAACCAAACACAGATATGCAGTTTTGTCGATTATTTCATTTACTTGAATGGTATAAAGTAAAATTATAACAAACCATTAAGGGGGATCACCTGATATTAAACAAAACAAGATAAAACATGAACATAGGTGCATGAAAGCCTTTGAAAGGAACAAGTGTGATCCCCCTGAGACTGACTAGAAATTTACATGCAGTGAAAATATCAGTTTACATGTAAATATGGATAAAATATAACATAAATGAGGTAATCCTTGGAGGCGTCCAAACAATTGCACCAATACCAGATGACAAGTTACTACTATAAAAAAAAATACAAATTTTGACCAGAATGCAAAATGATATACAAAAATGAACCCATAAAAAGGATGGGTGGGTTTTTTTTCCATCGCACTAACAGGGTAACAGAAATGACGCAACAAAAACAAAGATTTTTTTTTCTATTAAAAAATCCGTAACCATGGTAACTATCCGACGTATTAAGATTTAATAGATTTCTCATAGCGGCATAAATTGAATTATCTGTGATAATTTTCTTTTTGTTTTTTGTCTATAAACATATCGATGATAATATTGTTTTGTCGTTTTTTATCTATAAAGTATACAAAACACAAAAAGTTTTGGTTTGAATTTTTGAAAAAAAAATAGTCCATATCACCTGTAAAAAAGAAATTTTGTTTCACATGGTGGAGGGTGGGGGTGTATTTTCTGTTTTTCGTTGATTTCTTTTGTGAAAAACAAAAGTTTTACCAAATTGTTATAGTTATTTCTCTTTGTTTTCCCAAATAAGTAATGTTTTATGAAAATTTATATAATAATCTATAAAAAAAAATATTAAAAATCCTTCGAATATGTTAACTTTTGAAAATTATAACTTGGCGGTAGGCGGAAAAACAATATGTATTCAAATATTATATTATCTGTTATAATATATATTATATTATTTTTATCATTGAGGAAATATTCAAAGATTTTATGCAAACGTTCATTTAATTAAGAGCTTATATCTCAAAGTAAAAGATTCCAGTCATTGGGTCATATTTCTCTTCATTTTGAATAAATTTCCTTGCCTATTCTAAAAATTCTTTTAGGAGTGAACATCCTCTGTCCACCGTTTATCCCCCCCCCCCCCCCAAAAAAAGATTCAACATTTTCTGCAATATGCTTTCTCTTTCTAAAGAGTACATATACATTTGATCATTTTTGTTATATATATACGTATTTATTGATCAGTCTGGCTAAAACCAGCCCTTGCTATTTCACTTCTAATAAAGTGAAATAGGGACTAGCTTTAGTCAGACTGTTTTATTGATAAACTTATATGTTAAGAAAAAGACACCGGACTAGAAAAACTTAACATGTACTGACAACGGACATTTTGCTTTTAAATTGCGATTTCTTAAAGCCTGCTATAAAGAATAGACTGTCAGTTGCCTAACACATGTAAAATTAAGTTTTTCTTCATATTTCAAAATAAAAGGGCCATTTTGATAAATTTAACGTAAGAAATATTAAATTTTCAGGCTGACTTCACACATGGGCATTTGGTTGCCAACGCAAACTCCTCTTTTATTACTTCATTTTAACGGCTGAAATTCATACAACATCAAAAAGGGTGTCAGTCCTCTTCCCCATTGCAATTTCAGACATTGGTTAAAATTATTTAACTTTAAAAATGAAAAACTGCTCACGACCTGTCTTCTAAAGTAATGACACCGGACAGTTTTTGTCATAACCTTACCTGTATTTTCATGACAACGAGCCATTTTTAGTGCTTAACTTTAAATGTTTCTGACAACGGTACTGTCTTGGAACTTAACGTGTTCCTGGCCGTGTCTCTGTCTCAGACCAAGAAATAAATTGATATTGCCATTGAACCATCTCTCAGAAAACTTTATTTTTCATTATCTTCTTCACTCTGCTCTAAAATGATATTAAACTGAATAAAGGTATCATCATGATCATGGTTACTTTTGACATCATTGATTTCAAATTTTTCCATGAAAATTCTTCATTTTCTACATAAAGAAGAGGGAAAAGTAAGTTTATATTAAAGATGATTCAGAATCATATCATTGATTTGATCTTGATAGATCTAGCTAGCAACAAAAGAACAGTAATTACTAGATCTTGACTATAAGATATTAATTAAATGGTTTTATCATTTATGAAATGTTGTACAACTTTTGCCTTCTTGTTGATTAACTTTTAACACTGAGCCTTAACTTTCAGGTCTCTACAGGAATGCTATTTCACATCAGTATTCTGATGCTGTATGCCAGTCGCCCATCATCATGATCATACCCCTAATATATTGAAAGACAGTAGTGGTACAGAGATTTGGACAATTTATCATCTACAGGATGATTTCAGGATCACAAACAAATAAGAAAATCTGTTCAAGAACATCAAGAAACTTTCCACTGAGACATAAAAACATGTACAGAGGCAATTTCAAAATACACACAAAGCAGGATTTGTCAAAAGTGTAAGTCCTTAGGTCCAGAGGCTCAAGGGAGTTTCTGATTAAAATTTGTCTGTTGTATATTGGTGTACTTATTGTGAGTATTGTTGCCCTTGTTGTCATCTTTGTATATAAACTTTCACATTCTCCACTGGGCCACTTTCAACCAACTTGACACAATTGAGTATTCTTGAACAAGGGAATATTAAAAGGTTATAAGAAAAAAAAGTTTAAAGAAAATGCAATGCCTTCTTCCTAAGGACAGTCCAGACATGAATGCCGTCTTGACATGTAAACATGTAGCATATATAGATTTGTTATCATTGCCCTGGAGGATAGGGTACAAAGCCCCGAAAGAAAGGGCGACAGAAGAGATAAAGATTTTAGCTCACTTGAGCAAAAAACTCAAGTGAGTTTCTCTTATCACCTGTTGTCTGACCTAGAAAAACTGAAATTTATGTGGAAGCATCATAGGGTAGTGTATGTAAATTGTTCAAATCATGACCCCCGGGGGTAGGGCGAGGCCACAAAGGGGGACACAAGTTTTAAATTGAAAGATATAAGAAAATACTTTAAAAATCTTCTTCACAAGAACTACTGGGCCAGAAAAGCTGAAACTTGTGTGGAAGCATCCGTGTGTAGTGTAGATTTTAAATTGTCCAAATTATGACCAGTGTGGGAGGGTTGGGTCACAATATGTATTACAGTGGGGGAATTTGGTAAAGAACAGCATGGTCAAAGCTACAGGTGAGCGATGTGGCCCATGGGCCTCTTGTTTAGTACAGTTTAGTGTTCACATGTATATTGATGATATTCAATGTTTTGTAGTTGAATATGGAAATTATTTCATGTGTGAGACAGTATATAAACTGATAAATATTGCATGTAGTTGAATGTAACATTGAAAATTGTCACCCCAAGAAAACCATTGTCAACCGAGGTGCAGCGGAGGTTGACAATGGTTTTCGAGGGGTGAAAATTTTCAATGGTACACTCAACTACATGCTATATTTATTATATTATACTGAATGTTTATACAAATACATATAACAGTGAACCGTGCACGCCTAAATTCTGTAGACAATATTCCTGAAGACAATATTCATTGATAAATTTCTTACACATGACCTTCTGAACTTCCTTGACATCAAAGAAGAAATTAACATTATAATACACACTATTTCAAATGCATTAATATTTCACTCTATTTATAGGTGTTTTTGACAAAGAAGGTTTAAAACCTTTGTGGATGTGGATATTGAAACTCCTTAAAACTCTTGAAGGATGAGGAAAAGGAACCATTGAAATGGAACGTGTTGGACAGGGTTATCACGGTAATATTGTTGATTTTGAACATGCATGCAAAATTTGGTATGATATTGCATATTATATAAAGAAAAGTTCAACACATGCTTTCATTAACTGACATGTATTTAAAGCATGCCCTTTGTCCACAAAGAAATTTTAAAATCTTTTTGAGAGGCTGATTGTATGAAATGATAGATAAATTGGCAGAATGCTTCACTTTTTTCTTATTTATTTAATTCAAAAATGAACATATGAAAATGTACATGTCACATTGGGGAGGAGGTTCAGTATTTTTAAATTGGATGTTGGAATTTGTATCTCAAATGGGAGGATGGCTAATTTCAAAGAAGATTTAGGTTTTGATTGAGATCAGCAATTTTATTCAAGAATGATGCATTTGATATTACTATTAACAAATTTGAACTATACATGTACATTGTACTTTTGAAAACTGATTCTTGTTAGGTACATTCATGTTTGTCCCAAACCAATTGACAGAAAATATTTTCAGGAGGATGGTTAGACTAAATGACACAATGACAATCTCATATTCATGCAAAACTTAATTAGCAGTCTTTTTGCAGATTCAGATCTGCACATTTAAAGGAATGGATACATAGTGCTTTTGAATTAAAATCTGGAATTCCTGACAAGAAATGGCACAAATTAATTCACAAAATATTAATGTATCCACCCCTATTTACTGATTTGACACTGGCTGGATATTTCTTTTTTTACACAGAAATATAATCTGACTTAATATTGTGACTTCTTTTTGAATGACCCTCACCTAGGGATTAGTCACACTTTTCATGTGTAGAATGTCATTTTTAACATGTTTAAGGAAAATATGGTTGTATTTTACTTTCAATTGACATGTCTCAGAGGAGCATGATGGTCCATATAGGCTTATAGTCAATTATAAATCTGAGTACATTTTACACAATTTATTGTGTGATTATTTTAAAAGTTACTCAATTTTATGTATACAACAACAGACTGATGTGATATGCTGTAAATTCCTTATTAAACACAAGGAATTTATTATTGCAATTTTGCATGTAGCATATTCACTTGCGAAATAGAATGTTTCACTTTTATTTTTATGGTACTGAAACCCATGCACATTCTCCTTATTAACCGCCCATTCACAAATATATATTCTTGCGATTTGATGTTTTTAAGAGCTATTTTGCAATAATAAGAACTCGCAAAAAATAAGGAATCTGCAGTATGTACATGTATAATCTCTGAATTGATGTTTGATTTTTTTTCAAATCCAGATCATGCATTTATAAAAGATGACAGCATATCAACACTGCCTTAAGATTGGAGTTGAGACCTTGTATTTTTTACATGGAAAATAAAGAACAGTTGCCGAATGAAACAGATGCTCGCAGAAGCAAATGTAATGAGGCCAGAATGATGGTGATCAATTTTGAATGATTTCATTCTCTGGTTGAAATGATACTGATCCATACTAAGTATTTAGTTGTATATAAGTATAATGGCTTATTTTAAAACTGTATAAAGCTTAATATATAATGTAACGATAATACATTGTATGTAGGAGTCAATATTTTTTGAAGGATAAAAGATGTAATTTTTTTTCAATCAGAATTTCCTAAAAAGACTTTCTAATGTAAGTACATGTATGAATAATAGAAGTTTATAATCCTTTCTTTTACTGTCATTGAAATACTGTAGTAATGAACCACAATTTTACACCAAAAATGTTTTAATTTAACATGAACTTTTAAATTTTTTATGAAGTTTGAATTGCGGCTCAAATTGCTTTTTATTGATCCATCTCCCTTAACCTTAGATTTGTAGTCCATTCTATGTACAATTACAAATGTAACAAATTTAATTTTGGAGCATGGGAAAGGTCTTGTTTTGAACTCTGGTGATTTTAACTCAAGCCGAGTAAATGTCTTTAGTACATGTACATCTTTATATGACAAATGAAATGGCTATTTTAAAAAATATGTACATGTACATGTATATCTGTACAAATAATTGATCTTGCCAAAGAGTTTTTTCCCTTGTTCACAATGTAAAAAAAATCTGAATGATATATGCATGACTGTTTTACAAAAAGCAAAGAGATAACTTTATTTTATATGTTTTAGAGATGTCCTCATTGTGTTCAGTATCTGCTTTTCTTACAAGTATTAATGATATTGAAATAAACTGTGCTAATATTAAAAAGTATTTTTATATCATGACATGATTATATATTGAACCTTGTTCATTGGAGCTGTGGCCAGAAGTGTTTTGCTAATACAGCTAGGGGTTCAAAATATTTCACAGAGTGCGATTAAAATACAGAAATAATATATTTTATATGGTAAAACATATATTTAGAAAACATCTTGTTGGATCTTTTCTCAAGTATGATCTCAGTTAAAAGGAACTGGGTGTAAAAAGAGCTTACATGTATATATTCTAGATATTTATTTAAATGCTTTTGGGTCTATGAAAAAGGCACAATGTGAAGAAATGTGAGCATTTTAGTCGAACTTGACATTGGGGACAGGGATATACTAAGTATGTGTAAGATCATGATCATGTGACACCTACATGTAACAGTCAGCTAGATTTAAAAGGGTAATAAGGCTTTGAAGTTTGCCAAATCAATTTAGGTATGACTACGAAATTAGATCTGTGTGTGTGTTTTCATACATTTTTTTACACCCCCCCCCCCCAATTTTATGGTTTTATGATTCTGACTAAGGGTGTTGGTATGTAACAACACCACCCCCACCACTCATGTGGACAAAGAATTCCTGGAACCACCCATGCCTTTAATAAAAATATCCTAAGTGCTCTGGAAAATTTATTAAACCCTAGAGATAGGGTTGAAAATAAAGAAGTATGAAATGGGAGAAAAAATATTGAGAAGCAGGATGGATGGGTCTCATCCCTCCTTTCCAAATAAAAAGAAGTTGGAAAAAAAAAGAAATTGTGTTTGTTTCGGGGGGAGGAGCTTTAATTTCCTGCATGTCTAACCAACTTGACATGTTTAGGGATCCAGGTTCTGAGTTTCTGAGTCATTTAGGTTGCATGTAATTCAGTATTCATTAAAAAAATATTTTTGTATCATTTAATATTTACTTATAGATAGTTTTCGATTGACCAAGAGTTACTTCCCGTTGGCCGCCATACTGGAGGTCCAAATGCTCATATTCCTTCATTGTTCAACCAATTTAAAATTTTTATATTTGCTATTTTGAATTAGAAATCATTATTTTTCTGAAGTATATAAATTTTTGGAAGCCTCCTTTATTTAAAAAAAATTATTTGGTAAAGATTTTCCACCAAATATTTCTACTATATTTTCTTAAACTTGGTAAGACAAAGAGGGAAAATCACTGAGTCGACCTCCAATATGGCGGCCAACGGGAGGTAACTTTCGCTAAATTCAGGCCTATCGAAAACTATCTATAGCACTAGCTCTGAAATCCAAATAACTCCCCCCCCCTTTTCCGCGCCCGGGTGGATTTATTGGATATGGAACCCTAAGTATTAAATGTTCCTGAACCATGATAACAGAAATCTTGTTAACATTTGATGTGTATCTATAACTGTAAAATAAAGGAATTGCTCGTAACTGTTTTTCAAGATCTGGATTATATATAGAAAACAGACTATAGGTGTGAACGTTCTCCTTTACTGCGAACCTAATGACCTTTGACTAGTTCAAGAGAAACCACGTGATGTAAATTTAAATAACAATAACATTAGTAGGGGTGATACAGTTTGCAAACACATTACTGTACAACTTATTTTGGGATCTAGACTTAAACATTTTTTGGCCATTGCTTCCAACGTATGTTCTTGAGAGCTATGTCTAATGACCAAAATCATTTTACTGTGTATTTTAACGTAAGTTTTTCTCTGATTTCTCTCACACTCTCTGGACGAAGTACTAGTACTGTATATCTTGGTTAATAATCTATGATAAGACTAACATTTTATTTTATACATAGTTTAAAGACCCAGGTAACGTCGAATACATTCAGGTGTATCACAACAAAATATTTCCCCTTCAGGTAAAGCTAACTTCTCAAAAGAACAATCGTCTTTCTGAAAAAAAAATGGGAAAAGAGAATTGTAATTAAAAAGAAATATTTGAAATATGAGGCATACATTAAGATTGTTTGCCTCTTTGGTAAATGAGATAACCCTTAGTGATCTAGATGTCTTATTCCTATTCAAACAAGAGGCCCAGGGGCCATATCGCTCACCTGAGCAATTGGCTAGGAAAAATCACACATCAGATCAGAACTGAAAGTTTGCTGAAGGGGGGGGGGGGGCTTGAATTTTAACCCCCCAGGGGTTCATAATTTGAACAAACATGAATCTACAATACCTGAGGATGATTCCCTATAAATATCACTAAGCATGGCTTTAAAGTACTTGAAAACAAGATTTTAAAAGGTTTCCCTAGATATTCCTATGTAAAACTTTTATCGGCCATTTTGGCCCCACCCTACCCCCGGGGGTCATGATTTGAACAAACTTGAATCTACAATACCTAAAGATGATTCCACATGAGTTTCATCTACCTGGTCCAGTGGTTCTTGAGAAGAATTTTTTTAAATTTTTCCTGTATATTCATATGTAAAACTTTGATCAGCCATTTTGGCCCCACCCTACCCCTGGGGGTCATGATTTGAACAAACTTGAATCTACACTACCTGAGGATGATTCCATATGAGTTTCATCTTTCCTGTCTCAATGGTTCTTGAGAAGAAGATTTTTCCTATATATTCCTATGTAAAACTTTGATTGGCCATTTTAGCCCCACCCTACCCCTGGGGGTCATGATTTGAACAAATTGAATCTACACTACCTGAAGATGATTCCACATGAGTTTAATCTTTCCTGGTCCAGTGGTTCTTGAGAAGAAGATTTTTAAAGATTTTTCCTATATATTCCTATGTTAAACTTTGATCAGCCATTTTGGCCCCACCCTACCCCAGGGGGTCATGATTTGAACAAATTGAATCTACACTACCTGAAGATGATTCCACATGAGTTTAATCTTTCCTGGTCCAGTGGTTCTTGAGAAGAAGATTTTAAAAGATTTTTCCTATATATTCCTATGTTAAACTTTGATCAGCCATTTTGGCGCCACCCTACCCCTGGGGGTCATGATTTGAACAAACTTGAATCTACACTACCTGAGGATGATTCCACATGAGTTTCACCTTTCCTGGCCTAGTGGTTCTTGAGAAGAAGATTTTTTAAAAATGCCATTATTTTTTTTCTAATTCATAATTATCTCCCCTTGGAAAAGGGTGTGGCCCTTCATTTGAACAACATTGAATCCCCTTTACCCAAGAATACTTTGTAGCAATTTTGGTTGAAATTGGCCCAGTGGTTCTTGAGAAGAAGATGAAAATGTGAAAAGTTTACAACAACGACAACGCCAACAACGACGACGCCAACGACAACGCCAACGACAACGCCAACGACAGACAACGGACAAATTTTGATCAGAAAAGCTCACTTGAGCCTTTGGCTCAGGTGAGCTAAAAAGCTCTATCAATAAATGAAGGTGAACTTTTTTCTGGTGAGCACAACAAAGTTTATATAAGTTGCTATAGGTTAGCAGGTTAAACTGAAGACAATACTGATCCAAAAATCAAATGTAAAATATGTATTATAGATACATGTATATATACATAATTATCATTAGATATATATATATATAATCAAATTCAAAGTACTGATACCACATTGCAATGAAAATGCTGACCTTTGAGCAATGGACGGTGAGTTTAAATCCTATATACTTTCTGATCATGCAAGTCTCCGTAGAATCACACGTGCTGTTCCAGGCACAAGACAGATTTTGATCACATGTCGGGCATGACAATCCTTCTGCTTATTAAAAAGATAATAATGAATCAGGTTCCAATTCCACAATTGCCTGTAAGACAAGTTTTCTACGCATGCACGAAATATGCAAAACGATTCGCAAGCAAATTTTTCAAAATCGAAGAAATAATTTCGTTTGAGGCGCTGTTTTGGTATTATTGCCATTTATTCGAATAAGTGATATCACCTATTTAAATGAGTGATATCACATATTCAATTTGAATGAGTGATATCCCTTATTCAAAGAGGCGATATCACCTATTCCAATTGGTAATATCACATTTGATTTGAATACGTAATATCGCTATTAGAATACCGGTATGTGATATGATCTGTAGCAGTCTCTCTTCATTCGCAGAAAGGCACAAAAACCTCTTATTAACTAAGTTGGATAAACAGCAGGAACACGATTAACCACCTCCCCTAATACTGGCATATTGGAAAGTCTCAGTACATTATTATACCTTACACAATGACTCCACATACCAGGACATTGATTAGAATGACAGACTTCCTGCTCTTCTGAACTTCCGGAACAGGGTTGTCCACCATAGGACGGAGGAGGATTTTTGCAATTACGTGAACGTGATTGGGTTCCGTTTCCACAGGTGGCGCTGCAAGACGTCCAAGCCTCCCAGGACGACCATCTGCCATCAACTGTGATAATGAGATATTCTGGCTACATTTAATTAAAATGGACTTATATTTTAGGTTGAAGTCAAGTCATGGAGGAAATGCCAGAAACATGAACAAATTTGGCGGTATCATCTATCAGCTGCAACATGGCATTTTTTTTAAAAATGGAATTACATTATAGATTTCAGTTTAATTACCCTTGGCATCAGAAAGTATGCAAAACGGATTTCATATCTGTCATATTAATAAATGCAGAGGGTTCTGCTTAGGTATTCAGGTCATAGCAATCAATCAATCGATCAATAAAGAAATATAATCAACCAAGAATGTGTTTTTACTTCCAGAAAATGAGAAGATCTTGAAAGGATGGGTGAGCTACCAAAGATAAGGTGTAAACAACTATACAAAGAATGCAGGTATTTGTGAAAGTATTTCTTTTCTGTAAGAGAAACAACTTACCAGGGCAATGAGGTAGGTTACACACTTCTGACTCTTGTGCACTGCCTGTACACATATTTCCACCATTGGATGGTGGGGGATTATCACAGAAGCGTAAACGTGATTGCAGTACCGACCCACAGGTGGCGCTGCAAGTTGACCATGGTGACCAAAGAGACCATCCTCCATTCACTACAACGCCAAGTTAAAAAGTAAAGTTTACGTTTACCAAAAAAAAAAACCCGTAAAGATGTCTATATTGTGTAAAATATTTCAGTCACTGGTTTAATTGTAAAGATATTTTGGAATGCTGTAGTGCATGCCTGGACAAACTGCATCCGAACAAACAGCACTTTGAACGTCATTTCCCAAACATGTCTGACCACCGTGTTGAGGTTTAGGGTTAGTACAGGACCGTGTGCGTTTGTGTATTCCAGACCCACACGTGAGATACTTTGGATATATGTTGATTAAAATGGATCCTTTATTTTAGGCTTAAGTCAAGCCATGGTAAAAGTAACTGTTGAAAAGTAATTTGTTTATTTAAGACAATTACCGGTAAAAAATAATGAAAATAAATTAAAAAAAAATGTTTCTTGAAGAAATAATGGTAATGGCCTAAATGTGGTGTTTTACTCATCAGGTATTCTTTTCTTATAAATACTTAGCCTGGAAGTCATGTAGTGTTTTTTATGCGCCCGGATCGATAGATCCAGGGCGTATATTGTTTATGTCCTATTTGTCTGTTTATCTGTTTGTCAACTTTAACCTTCGCCATAACTTTTGAACCATAAGAGATAGAGACTTCATATTTGGTAGGCATACTCCACTAATTAGGTTCTTTCAAATGACATCAAGGTCAATGACCTTGTGACCTTGACGTTGACCTATATGCTAAAAATAGCCTTTTCGACTTTTTGCAATAACTTTTGAAGCATAGGAGATAGGGACTTCATATTTGGTATGCATACTCCACTAATAAAGTCCATTCAAATGACAGCAAGGTCAATGACCATCTATATGCTAAAAATAGGTTTTTCAAACTTTGTTGCCGAAGGGCTTATAGTGTTTCACAAACACATCTTGTTTTAAAGTTAATAAATGTATATTCTAAAATGAAGAACACATTTTATGCAAGAGTATACGGGAATGGACTTGCACAAAATTGGCTATATGCAGTTCCAAAGTTTATGAAGATTTATTAATGGTGTTTATATAGGCTACAAAGGAATGAAAAATCCACAGTTAAATATGAATTAGATTTTTGCAAAAAGTTCCTTTGGAGAAGGTCAATTCTGAAGGCAATCATATTACATTCCAAGGAAATGAGAATGTCCAGTATATACTCTAAAGATGACATCTTTTAACGACGTTCGATCCTGATATTTTAAGTCTTAAACTTTTTTTGCCAAGTATATTTTTAGTTTCTACATACATAGCTTTATTAAAATTCAAATCAAAAATTGGGGGTCAATATGCTTTTTTTGGCGCTACAGAACATTTAATATGACTTTTTACACTGAAATGTTTGTCTTAATTAAAAATTACATCTTCGACGTTTTCCCTGCAATATTTTTATCCAATTAAAGCATGAGACAAAATGAACTCTTAGTCTGTTTAAAAAAAGGCACTTAAAAATTGTGACTAAGAAAAAGTTTCAAATTACTTCGCATAATCAATTATTTGACCTTTCTGCACTAATAAAATGTTATTTTTCCGGCATTGAATTTATAATAAGCAAGAAAATTATTTTAAAGTCTTAAACTTTTTCTAATTTTAAGCAAATAGGTCAAAGTTATCTTGAATATTTAGAAAAGAACATCAAAAGTGGGGGTATATGATGTACATCTTCAGATATTACTAAAAAAGTGTGAATTTTACGTTAAAATTGGCTCAATTTTTTCCCTGATTTTCAGAATATATATACTATATTTGTCACACTTTGTTGATAGAATTCACAAGAAATAATTTAATAGATATTTCAGAACCAGCATAACATATTTCACTGCAAAAAACAGCTTTTTGTGCAACCAGCATGGAAAAATTGGCATCCAAAATTAACAGTACTGTTATAGTTCAAATGGAAAAAACTGACCATTTTCGTCTAAAAAACCTTCCGCCACAAAATATAGTCCATAGCTTAATTCTACTTGAATGGAATTAAATCGCGTTTTTTTCATTGAATATAGTTTAATTTGCATTGTAGAATTCAGGTTTATTGTTAGAACCTAAAAATTATGCTTAATTTTATGAATAAACATCGTCGCAAACCACGACCAAAATGTACGCTCCTCTCCCATCTGGCCGTGGTTGAACGAGGAGAGAATTATTCGTAGCTCATTAAAATATTGACCAATGCGAGTAAAGCATAGTCGGATGTTGAACTTGATTGCGACCTCTCAATATCCAATCGCAGTAAAGGAAATATTTCTTGTATACTGTTGACGTCAAGTGTTGATTTCGATTGCGATGGAAACAAAACTTGCCACTGACTGAATATGACGTCACAACAGAGAGGCGTAAATATTCAAGATTACGACACTTTTTCGTATCAAACAGCCACGGGTAGGAGAGAGCTACAATGTATATATGCGGACTCCGGACCGTGGCTTGAGACGATGATGAATAAAGGACCTGCGCGAAATACGCTCAAAATATCAGGATCGAACGTCCTTAAAACTTCACCGGATCCTAACCACGACCAAGGGCAAAAAGGTAATACTATCGGCCGAGAAAAAAAGATAAGAAAAATGGGAAGAAACTGCTTTTAACGATCCAATCCTTTCTTGAAATATGGAGGTAATAAACAGTATTCAAGTTCAGAAGTCAATTCAAACAATGCAAATCAGGAACAAAACAAACACGAACCTCTGAAACATTAGGAGGTGGAATAAGATCCAGTGGAGAAGTAAGCATCCACTGCCGACCAGTCTCAACCACTGTGTGCTCCTTGTCATAATCGGCAAAAATGTCAGTCAGCATTTGACTTACTGTTAGATTGTATTTGCTGACAATGTCATTGTATCGATCAAAAACTTGCAAAATAATGACTTTAAACGTCACTGTTGATATTCTTGATCATTAATTGTTTGTCAACAGCTTTCCTTATTTTCAGATATTTGTTCATTCGTACCGCATGTTCTCGTGTATCGAATTTAGGACAATATGCAGGTGATAAGAGTACATTGCTACACAAGTAACATAAGTAATGGAAGTTGACAAGTGAAAAGTTGAAGTCATCAAGTTTATCATTAAGCTTTGTTGTTAGGTTACCAATAACGCTTTTTTTCGTGTAAAATACTAGTATTCAAATATGAAACAGATATGTTTTACTCACACGATGATTGTGGTATCGTTATTTCAATTCTCAGTGAGATATATTGAGACGTCGTATATGAATGGAAATAACTATTGTTAATTGACAATACGTCAGCGATATATCTAATTGTCTTCTTGAAGGCAAGTTAGGCAACCTGTGTATTCTTCTTTTCATGTATAAGGTTTTGAATAAATTCTTCTTCATATGAATATAAAAATAGGCCTGTTAATAAAGGGCCATAGTAACAATTGGAATTCTGACAGATTTTTGGAAAACCTGCTTTCCAAAAAATGACATAAAATCAAACTCGAGCATCCTTTTAATTTCAACTTCTAAGAGTACTTGTGTGTACATTCGAGAAATGCCAGAAACATGAACGAGTTTGGCGGTATCGTCTCTCGGATGCAATATAACGTTTTTTCATGGACTTGATTTAAAGATTTCAGTTTAATTACTCCTGACATCATATAAATAAATGCAAAGGATTCTGCTTTGATATTCCTTTCATAGCAATCAATCAATAGATCAATAAAAGATATCAGCCATATAAAAAGAATGTGTTTTTTTACTTCCAGAAATGAGAAGATCTTGAATGTATTGCTGAACTTCCGAAGACAACGTGTAAACACAAAAATACCCCAACTATACACAGAATGCAGATAATAGTGAAAGTATTTCTTTTCTGTACAACAAACTCAAAAGCAAGAAAACTTACCAGGGCAATGGGGTAGGTTACACACTTTTGCTTCTTGTGCACTGCCTGTACACTTGTTTCCACCATTGGATGGTGGGGGATTATTACAGAAGCGTGAACGTGATTGCAGTATCGACCCACAGGTGGCGCTGCAAGTTGACCATGGTGACCAAAGAGACCATCCTCCATTCACTACAACGCCAAGTTAAAAAGTAAAGTTTACGTTTACTAAAACAAAAAACCCAGTGAAGATGTCTATATTGTGTAAAATATTTTAGTCACTGGTTTATCATGTAGATTATTTTTTTTACAGTTAATAAATGTTTATTCAAAAATGAAGAACACATATTTAGCAAGAGTATCCGGGAATCGACTTGCACAAAATTGGCTATATATGCAGTTCCAAAGTTGATGAAGATTCACTAATGGTGTTTATATAGGCTACACAGGGATGAAAAATCCACAGTTAAATATGAATTTGATTTTAGCAAAAAGTTCCTTTGGAGAAGGTCAATTTTGAAGGCAATCATATTACATACCAAGGAAATGAGAATGTCCAGCATGTAGTCTAAAGATTACATCTTTTAAAACCACGACCAAGGGCAAAAAGGTAATAATATCGGCCGAGAAAAAAAGATAAGAAAAATCGGAGGAAACTGCTTTTAACGATAAAATCCTTTCTTGAAATATGGAGGTAACAAAGAGTATTCATGTTCAGAAGTCAATTCAAAACAATGCAAATCAGGAACAAAACAAACTCGAACCTCTGAAACATTAGGAGGTGGAATAAGATCCAATGGAGGAGTAAGCATCCACTGTCGACCAGTCTACCCACTGTGTGCTCCTTGCCATGATCGGTAAAAATGTCAGTCAGCAAATGTTATTGTATCGATCAAAACTTGCAAAATAATGACTTTAAACGTCACTGTTGATATTCTTGTTCATTCAAATTGTTTGTCAACAGCTTGCCTTATTTTCAGATATCTGTTCATTCGTAACGCATGCTCTCGTGTATCGAATTTAGGACAATATGCAGGTGATAAGAGTACATTGCTACATAAGTAACATAAGTAATGGAAGATGACAAGTGAAAAGTTGAAGTCATCAAGTTCACATTAAGCTTTATTGTTAGGTGTACTAGTATCCAAATATGAAACAGATATGTTTGATTCACACGATGATTGTGGTATCGTTATTTCAATCTCAATGAGATATATTGAGTCGTCGTATATGAATGGAAATAACTATTGTTAATTGACAAAACGTCAGCGATATATCTGAATGTCTTCTTGAAGGCAACAAGTGTTCTTTTCATGTATATGGTTTTGGATAAATTCTGCTTCATATGAATAAAAAAAATAGGTCTGTTAAGAAAGGGTCATAGTGACAATTGGAATTCTGACAGATTTTTGGAAAACCTGCTTTCCAAAAATGACATAAATCAAACTCGAGCATCCTTTTAATTTCAACTTTGAAGAGTACTTGTGTGTACATGCGAGAAATGCCAGAAACATGAACAAGTTTGGTGGTATCATCTCTCGGATGCAATATTTCATTTTTTTCATGGACTTGATTTAAAGATTTCAGTTTAATTACTCCTGAGATCAGAAATTAAGCAAAAAGGTTTTTCAAATCTGGCATATAAATAAATGCAGAGGACTCTGCTTTAATATGCCTTTCATAGCAATCAATCAATTTAGATCAATAAAAGATATCATCAGCCATATAAAAAGAATGTGTTCTTTACTTCCAGAAATGAGAAGATCTTGAATGTGTTGCTGATCTTCCGAAGACAACGTGTAAACACAAAAATACCCCAACTATACACAGAATGCAGATAATAGTGAAGGTATTTCTTTTCTGTATAACAAACTCAAAAGCAAGAAAACTAACCAGGGCAATGAGGTAGGTTACACACTTTTGCTTCTTGTGCACTGCCTGTACACTTGTTTCCACCATTGGATGGTGGGGGATTATTACAGAAGCGTAAACGTGATTGCAGGATCGACCCACAGGTGGCGCTGCAAGTTGACCATGGTGACCAAAGAGACCATCCTCCATTCACTACAACACCAAGTTAAAAAGTAAAGTTTACGTTTACCAAAAAAAAACCCAGTAAAGATTTTTATATTGTGTAAAATATTTCAGTCACTGGTTTAATTGTTAAGATATTTTGGAATGCTGTAATGCATGCCTGGACAAATTGCAATCGAACAAACAGCACTTTGTACGTCATTTCCCAAACATGTCCGACCACCGTGTTGGGGTTTAGGGTTAGTACAGGACCGTGTGCGTTTGTGTATTCCAGATCCACACGTGGCACTACAAGATGACCATGATGCCCAGTGCGACCAACTCCCATCCACTGAAGAGAATAAATGTCTCGAATTAATTCCACACTATTACTTCATATCAAGAATTATTAAAATTGTTGCTGAAATATTTGCAACATGATGACATTTCTGAACTTTCTTATGTACATTTTTTTACTTTATGCGAAAAAAATCTATCAGCCACAATGTAGCATAAATATGTACTTTCTCACCCGGATTTGCTTGACACACACATGCATCATGAACACATTTGGAAGAGTATCCAGTACCACAATGATGATGTGAGCAATCGGAATCAACCAAACACTCTGAAATAGGAAAGAAGAGAAATAATACTGATACAATTCAGCAAATAGATTTGCCCAAAATGTTGAGAAGGAATACCTTCACATTGACAGATCTTTGTAATGGTAGAACAATATGGACTCCTTCCTCCTTTGCAGCTTAAATGAAAGGAACAATATGAATTACTGATGCAGTGATGCACACATGTACATTGTCCTGACTTGCAGGTTGGTTGATAGATAAAAGAACAACGATGGTTGGCACAATCTTGATGGCTCGAGCAGGAAGTTTTGCAGGTGCATTTCCTAGTGTTGTTTTGCGCCGAAGAACAGACTGGATCACCTCTGTGGCAAGACAAGTGTGAACAGTCCGTATTAGTGTTACAAGTTGCCTCGCATCTGCAAGAGTGAGAGGATAAGGAACAGACTGGGATATATCCGGTAGAGCAGTGTTGGTGTGCGCAGTCGCTGTCCCTTGTACAATGTGAATCTCCATCTGTATTGTAAGTTGTCTTTATAAATTTTTGAACAAGCTTCATAAAAAACCGAACAAGTGTTCCATAAGGCTTTTTTCTGTTAAGATTTTTTTAATACTTCACTATTTTTGTTTGTTAATTATGTATCTTTCTTAAGGATGACATAACATGAATTGAGTATTTATCATTTGAAACAAAATAGAAAAATATGAACAAGTAAGTATACTTTTGAGATGCGAGTTTGCTTGTCAAACATAACTATCTATAAATCAAATCAATCATAAGACCAACTACAACCTAGGACGAACCTTCACATTCACAGATCTTCTTAACGGTGGAACAATAGGGACTTGTTCCCCCTCCACAGTTCAGATATCTAGAACAATAAGAATTACTAGTGCAGCGATGTACACATGTACATTGTCCGGATTTGCAGGTTGGTTGATACATAGAGGAACAACGGTGGTTGGCACATTCTTCATGTTTCGTACAGGAAGTTTCGCATGTGCATGTTCTGGAGGAGTTTTGAGCCAAGGAGCAAATCGGATTGCCACTGTAGCACGAAAAGTGTGCACAGTCCGTGTGAGCGCTACATGTTGCTCCACACTTGCAAGTGTGAGAGGATGAGGAGCAGACTGGGGTGTATCCAGTAGAGCAGTGTTGGTGTGCGCAGTCGCTGTTCCTGGAGCAATGGGAACCTCCACCTGTAAGAAAAGATGTTTTTTATTAAAAACCATCAAATGTGGATTTTTTCGCCGAGGGATATTATATTAGTTTGATAACTATTTTACTTTTCATTGTAACATACATTTGATCATTCTGACCAACGGCATTTTGAAGAAAGGAATGTTAAGATTCATGCCAGATTCTTTTTTCATGAGCAATATTGACACAAGCATAGTACTTCGATGTTTCTGTACAGAAAAAAGCAGAAAGTTTCCTTTTATACATTACAACATACTAGTACTGGAACAGAGGCAACACTTCTGAGTATCAAAAAGAACAGTGTGGTATTGGCACCCTATTTGCTGATATGAATAATGACATCTATAAGAATGGCAGTCTTGATCTGTACTGCACCTTATGCACTGACTCATGACCATGTCCAGCTGCAATAAACCTGAAACAGACAGTATTACCTCCTTTAGAGACTTTCACAGAACGAGAGCTACATTTACAGGAAATACATTGGCAGGTAAATAATAAAATGTTCAACCATTTTTGGGTGGTTAAAGAAAAAAATAACTCAAGCAGGTGCTTTCTGTAGTTTTTTTTTCATTCTCAAAGATCCGACACAAAAAAAGACATCAAAATCCTTCACTTTAAACATGAAATAAAAAAATTGTTGTTATGACAAAAACTACTCACACGGACTGTGACTACCAAAAATAATGTCTGAAGGTGTGTTAAAATACAGTGCACTTACAGAGGGGAACGATAAGAATCAAAGTCCTAATCAAGTCCATGGTCATAACGAAAGAGCAGCGCCGTTACACACATCAAAGGTGATGTTCGTGTGGTCTTTTTATCTTATACTGTAATATGCCTTTAAATTACTAGTATACACTCACGCGTACACTAAACATGTTTACATAAACAGAAATAAATCAGGTACTTTCAAAATAATCATTCCGTATGTTCTATGCTCAATACAATGACCTAGCCATCATACACAAGCTATCATTAAGACAGATATTAACTGAGAATTAACATACGTATCATTAAGTCATTGTTTACACACATATTTCATTTTTCCTGATCATTACACGGAGCTCACGGCATGCTGACCGCTCGACAGGGGATCTTTTTTTCCTCCACGCCATCTGATCTAACCTCTGGCATATTTTAGAAGTCTGTGTTTGCTCTGCTCCTGATTTGTATTGTTTCAATGGAGTTTTTAGCTTGATCACAATTATGTAATACATGTAAACGAAAAATTAAGGACAAAAATCAAGCACAAAAAGTCAAAATTATAAATTGAGAGCAGAGCAAACACAACAACCTAAAAACATAAGAGGTGGGATCAAGTGCGATGGAGCATTTTTCAGAAATAAAATAAGCCGTGTAAATTTTAAAATTTTTGTTTAAAGTGCCATAGTAAAACATAACAGAAGTTTCTGCGAGGTGTTTTTTTCTGCAATTACATGCTTTTTTTTGAACATGCTTTTTAACGAAATAACTCAACACACGATATTGCAAACACTTTTTGCAGAGAGCAGTGATAAAAATAAAAGGCAAGGCCAAGTCTTTCATATTACCTTGACGTAAAGTATGTTATATCCATCCTACCTTTATAATGCACAATATCATGTAATGACAATATATGCCAGTTATATAAAGATGTCTGGTTCACTTTGATTCACTTCTCTATATATTTCCTTCACTAGACCTGGGACATTTTTGTCTGAAGATTTACACTTAATCAATGTTAAAAAGGTAAATGTTGATTTTTGACAGATGCTTTTCTCTTATTTTCATATTTTACAATTCATCAAGTCTAATAAAATGTAAATATACCAAACAACACTCGTGCTCTCATTTTATAATGTTTTTTTTCAGTATACAAGGGATTTTTTTCAATTTACTGTATGAAGGAATTTTTGATGTTTGAACTAATTGATTGCTAATAAAACCGTATTAAATGATATACATTTACCTGTATTTGTTTACGATTTTTAATTCAGTAAAATTTAGTAAAAAGTTTTTTTTTTAGTTTTTCAACTAATAATCAACTAATACCGTTGAAAATATTTTGATGTTATTGATATTAAAGACTTTGTTTTTAGCTTGTGAAATGAAATAGAAGAAAAAATCGAAAGTAGATGCTCACTCCTACGTGACACCTGGTATCACCTCTGATGTTTGAAAGGTTCGTGTTTTATCTACTCCTCTGCTCATAAGTAATGTTTGAATGAACCTTTAAGCTTGAATTCGTTATTTCTCCATATACCAGGGCTGTTCAATAAATTATGTCCCCGGTGCTCGGAAAGAAACAAAAATCGCATTTCAATGATTCAGTCGTAATTATTTCCCTTAAATATTCTCTTTAAATTAAAACGCAGCTATTATATTTTATCCATTTTTTAATTGTGTTTAGAACACACTTTTGAGTATGACCTTTCGTATACTGGAATATGACAGATCCTATGACTCTGATCCTATGATTTCCTGAATTTATTTTCAATTTCAATTTTCGTCTTTCTGAAGGAGTTTTTTTAAGTTTGGAAAATGAAATGCGTCAAAGGGTGAAAGATCTGGCGAATATTGTTGGTGTGACAAAACATTAACTTTCTGTTTATCCCCAAAACTCCTTGTCTCTTCAGGGCGTGCGGTCCTGGACGCTGTAATGAAGAAATTTAATGTGTTGGATTCCTGATTCTTGTTCCTTCCTTTCAAAAAACCTTTCTATGTTTTTGCATACATTTTGCTTTCTAGACTCCTCCAGTAATTGAACTCTCTCCCTGAATAAGAATTTGAAAAGCAAGAACAACTAATATCAAGAAAATGGCATATTAAACTGTCTTTATGCTCATGCAATTCTATGCTCTTAAAACACCTTTGCTTTTCTGTCAAGTGCATGTTATTGTAAATTTGTTTTCAGAGTGTAAAGCAATGGATTCAAGTTTCACTATCTGTTTGAATTTCAGGCAAATGTGGATAACTACAATTTTTGATTTTTTTAAATAAATTTTTAGATATTCTTGCTCACTGTCGTTTTCACTCATTTTAACGAAACATAGGGTGGCCATTGAGAAGCATGTTTTGTTTTTTTTTACTGTCAAATGTTTCTTAAAACAGTGTAAACTACCCCCTAAAATTATGCCTTTCAAATTTTCTTTGTATCTCAAAGTTCCTCGAATATTATTAGTGATGATTTGTTGAATTTTAGGCTTACAGCACATTGGTTGTTGCAAATCCTTGTTGCCAAGGACGGTACCCAATTCTTGATGCCAATTTAATCATTTTTCTTCATTGAAATCCAGATGCTCATGTGTCTATAAAACTGCAGACATTGATTACTGTAAATTTCTCATACTTCAGTGAATAATTCTTTGGGATTCTGAACAAGTTTTACAACAGCTTTAAAAAGCTTTAAATTTCACTCTTGTTTACTGATTCTCTACCATTCATTTCTAATGCACTGTCTCGAATAACCCTTGTTTTTTAGCTTCTCACAATGAAACTATATGATGAAAAATGGTCACATTAACTGTTATCAATTCATGTAAGATTCAATCATGAGAGAAAGACAAGCTTAATGTCATATGGTATCTGTTTTGTATGTCATAAGGTTCAGGGCATAATTTGATGAACAGCCTATAAAAATAAAAGACACTGCAAATTTTATCTCATATTCTTTATTTGGTTGTATTTCTTATGGAAAAAATCACTGATGGAAAACAATTAACCTATTAAAGATATTTAATGAACTAAACTTTTCACCTGCATATGGAATTTATGAGTCTGCAAAAGCTCATTTTATTCCAATCCAGGGCAAGCTACTTACGATTAAACTACTTTACAAGGACAACCAATGTAAAAATTTGTGTTTTTCTTGCAAAACAAACAGTAATCAGATTCAAAAGTTCAATTTACCAATGCAAATTGACCACTGCGCAAACGCAAACCCCAGAATATCAGAGCTGGGAGCAGTGCTATGCGTTGTAAGCACACTCTATCGAACGGTCATACCCACAGTTAGTTCAAAAATATCTTCAGCCAACATTTTAACTACATGAAGTATTGTTTTTGCAAGGAAGATCCATTGAATGACAACATTGTCGACTACTTTTGGAGAACTTTTAGTAAAATTTGTCTTTAAATCAAACTGTCTGGCGTGTTTATTACAAATTAATAGGGTATAATTTTTTCAAGTGTTGAGTTACTACGTTGACGGTTGTGACAGTTCGACAGATCATGCTTCCTCCTCCATGTAACCTGATTCCACCTTTGGTGTTTCAAGTGATCTGTGTTTTTTGCCACCACACGCTGGTGATAGTAGAATTTTACTACACAAACAAGTTCACGATGGAAAAGTCATTTCGTTTGTCATACAATTGTTAACTTGTCTTCATCGTGTATTGTCAGTTATGTTCTCATGGATTAAAATATTTTTAAGTCAACAAATTATTATTAAAATTTAGAATACATTTATAAAAATGAAGTTCTTGCCCACAATTGTCAATAAAGACATACAAACTCCCCTTTTCAGCTCACATATTTTTTTAAAAGAAAAAAATAATCATAACATATGATTTATTGTTCAAAAGAAAAAATAGAGGCAATACAAAAATATTTAAAAGCATGAGTATTTTTGGTTTGGATCATTCTAAAGTTATTCTAGAGAATACATACTTGCTACTTCGCACATGCAAGAAGCAATATTTTCAGAACGTATAAAATGGAAAATACTACGCAAGCTTCTAAACGCCAAGTATATTTGTCAAACAAATTCGATCATCACAGCAAAATATTTCCCCTGCATTCAAAGCTGTCTTCTCGAATTCACAATCCACTTTCTGCAATAAACCCAAAAGTTATTGCATTTTATGGAAATTTTCACACCAGTTGTAACAATATTAAGAACGTTTTATAAACCTACAACAAAATATTCTTATAACATGTAAAATCATACCTTGTTTTTAAAGAAGAATGTTTGTAGTATTTGAAACTGTTTTACCTTGGAACAGTGAACCGAGAAGGCTGAATTCGAGAATGACCTAACCATACAGGTCTCAGATACATCACATGTGGCGTTCCATTGGCATACCAAGTTTTCATCACAAGATGGACAATCTGGGCCAACTACCCGGGATATGTAGGTTTATATAACGATTCAATGTACAATGTAATATGATAAATAAAAAATACAATAGAATTTTTGACTTTAATTCATCTGAGAAAGCAATTTATAGATTCGCCTATCCCTTAACATCGCGTTATTTTTGCGTTATGTACTGTCAATAGAAAAATTTATGCTCCCAGTTTATTTTCGCTTTTTCGCCTTTCTTGCTCATGGGAATTTTGAATCGGGATGAATTTAAAGACATCATATTCTCTTATTCAGCGGGTCAAAATTTCTTGCAAGTGTTAAAGGGCAAAAATAACACAGGGTGGAAATAATCCTATTTACAGTAATCAAAAGAATGAACTACTTTGCCAAAATTACTGTGAAGTTAACATTACCGGGACAGGCTGTTACATTGCAGAATTCAATCTCAGAGTGTGAACCTTCACACGGTTTCCCGTTGACAGGCGCGGGGTTGTCACAATGACGGATACGTTGACGCACACTCGAATTCCCACAGGAGGCGCTGCAAGCGGACCATGCTTCCCAATTGGACCAAAGCCCATCAATAACTATGGAAATTGAGTTCAGGGTCAAATTACTAAACACACGACACAAACTACAATACTTCTTTCTAATACCCTTGTATTTTTCTGTACCCTCATAATTCTTCGTCATAAACTTTTGCAAGAAGCGCTGACTTTAACACTTGATGGTTAACTTGAACATTTAAACCTGAATCATGTATGGAGGTACAGATTAGTTAGTAGATAAAGACAACCTATCTAGTGGTTATAGGTATGGTGTTAGGGGCATTAACAGGGTAGAGGGTAGGACAGTTGTCATTTTCTTCGAGCACAAATTACTCGTGCTCTGAAATATATTTTCTTTGAAATAAATGTTAAGCTATAAATATTTGTATCGATCGTAAAAGAGCCTCCGTACATTATCAAGTTGAAGTAATCTGTCAACTGTAAAAGTCAACGCTCTTTGCCTTTCCATTTTTCAAGAATCTAAAAGTAGCGACAGTGCTGAATGTGATAATTTGAAGTTCTTTTATATCATAAAGTACAATAAAACTGCAAGTCTCTTTGAAATTTGCTGAAAATGTTGCAGATTGAACTAAACGTTCAATTATTTGATTGGCTTTAATGAAAGCCAAACAGACTACAAAAATACCTTTTCTTCCATCGATATCATCTTTAAAAACCTTCCACTTTATATAAAAAACCTTTTCTAAAACATTTTTCGGTGATATCTAAAGTCTACTACGACCCGTTGGATTCAAATGGATATAAAGAGATCAATTTAGAGTCATCTGACCAACAAACAGTTGATAAGTTGCAAAGCTGGTCAGAATGAATATTCCTCATCTGTATATTTTATTTGTATAATAATGGAAACAATTGTGCACATGAACAGAACAAATACAACACAATTAAATTTATGTTTCTAATACAAATTGTCTTGAAATATGATATATAACTCTTGTCTTCTGTTATTTGTTTCTTCTGCTTAAAACCTTCCACCATGGAGTCATTGTTGCAAACAGGCTAAAACCCAAACGAAGTCCAAGAAACCATCTTTATAAGACATTCTTCGGTAAGAGTGAAGCAACGTGGTTGAAGTACTATCAACGACATTATATCTTTTCCAGAACTGTATAGTGCAAAGATTCCTTCAATGATGTAATCAAATTGTCACATCTTCGTGGCGAAACGAGATATTTATATTCAATGTTCAAAGATCCAGTATTGGAAGATTAATTGTAAGATGCCTTTACTGTTTTTTCTGCTTCATTGGATTATGCATGCCTCCGAGTTTTCAAATTTTCTACAAGCGGTTGTTTCCGACAAAATTTCAATTTTTATTCTCAATTTATTCAAGTGTAGACTTGATTTAAAAGAGACAACAGTAGTAAATTACCAATTTAGAAGAGTTATTCACATTCATCTGTTTCATTTTCTCCGAGAATGTACTAAAGTCATATTACTAGAAATACCCAGGAATATATGGAGTGGTAGGTAATGACAATTGAACAAAGGAGGAAAATTGTACAACGAATATAGTTTTCGTTCACTTAAAAAGGCCGTTTATGGACTTAAGAGTTTATCAGGAGACTAACAGTGACTCCAAATTCACTTGGGTTGGACATGAATTAGGATGCAACAAAGATAATTTAACATCTTTAATATTCGCATGGCTGAGTTTTGAATCCAATCGCAGTATGAATAGGAAGGAGGTATTATAGTAGATACACCAGCAAAATAAACAAAGACTCTGGAAATGACACATTAATTTTATATACCACATAATCCACAAGTAAGCTGGCACAAATGCTGGAAACTGGTGTCTGAGCACAGGGTATCTTTATCTTGGGCACAGTGGCTCAATTTATCATGACATGGACCTTTTGAAAAAAGAAAGCATTGATTGTAAAATGATTAGATTTGTTTAATAAAATGTCAGTACAAATATTTGTGAAGGATATCAATTATTTCCTCCAGATTAGTTACTAATAGTTTACATTAAAGTAATTTTAATTATAAATCTTACATGGGATGGCAACGCATTCCTCGGTTTCTTTGTCAGAACCATTGCACAAATGGCCAGTGACTACAGTGGTTCCACCACTGTTGGTACAGTTACGACTACGTGTGCTGACTCCCCGTCCGCACGTTACACTACAGGCAGACCAGGCTCCCCATGTAGACCAAACAACAACTAAAGTTAAACCCGAGGACTTGAATAAGTACATTTTGCTTCTTGGTGCATGACATGTATATCATTATTAATTTTCTTTCACTATTTTAGTCATAACTAACCATCCCCACCCCCACTGAAGAAAATATACCTAATGATTTTTTCTATGTTCTTTGCCTTATATTGTCCCTGTTAACACCCTTTTCTGGTTTGTGCTGGACAATTTTATCTTTAATTTTTATCTATAGGATATTAAACATTGATATGATTTCAATATTTTAAGAAAATGAGTTTCATATAAAAATTATCAAAACACTTTTGTGGAAATAACTTTTAGGAAAAAGAATATGACCAGAAACGACCACAGTTCGAAGAGATTGTAAAAATACTGGACAAAAGGGGTTAAAATTATGTTTTGTCTCATAAAACTATTTGTGAACGACGTTCAATATAATGAATAAAGTACGATATAAGGTAATAACCTGGACAGGGTCCTGTATTACAATTTTTCATTTCATACTGACTGCCAGCACAATCTCTGCCCCCATGAGAAGGGGCTGGTTTCGTACAGAAACGAGCGCGTGACTGTACACCATCTCCGCATGACGTCATACAGGTAGACCAAGCCATCCAATCGGACCACCCTCCATCAACTTCGAAGGAGGAAAATAGTGCTTACATTTGTGAAGAGAAAAACACATAAGCAAAAGAAATAAATTACAGAGAAAAATATGAATCAGATGCATACCAGCACAATCGCCTGTATTGCATGTCCTTGCCTCTGACGAGTCTCCGGTACATTGATTCCCTCCGTTTGCTGGTGGTGGATTTGAACAGTTTCTAGTCCGAGATTCTACGCCTCCTCCACATGTCACACTACACTTATTCCATGCACCCCATGCGCTCCAACCACCGTCCACTAAAGATATTCAATTAAAATCATCTAGTTTTCAATATTCGTGATTGGAGTTAAAATTGTGATCTGCACATATATTCATTATCTACGCTTGTTCACTATGTAAAGTAACAATTAAAAGGAAATACTTAAATTTACATGCAATTACTGTTTCTAAACACAATCCTTTGATACCTTTCAAATCCAGAATTGCACATAAAAAAATTAGCTCACCCGCACACACAGTAACACAGGGTTCAGTTTCGTATGCATCTCCAACACAATCTTTCCCGTGATTAGATGGCGGAGGACTATCACAGGCACGAGCACGAGTTTTTGTTCCGTTACCACATGTGCTTGAGCAAATAGTCCATTGCATCCATTGTGACCATGCACCGTCAACTGGAAATAAAAAATTATATTCAATACAATTAAACCTAAGCCTTGAACAAGGTTATGGTTATTAAATCAAGACACAAATGATTATTTAACCATTCCTTCCTGGAATATTCCATTGATACGAGAGAAAACAGTCAAAAGTTTACCGATGCAAGGTGATGTAGAACAATTACGACTTTCCTTATGATCTCCAACACATTTGTTTCCGCCACCGGAAGGAGCAGGATTACTGCAGTTTCGCGTCCTTGACTCTGTCCCGCCTCCGCATGACGTAGAACAGGTGGACCAAGCAGTCCAATCTGTCCAGCTACCATCAGCTTAAAAATTGTGACCAAAATTACTAGTATTTGCAGAATTTAAAAAACAGAATTCCCTGCAAAAATCAAAGGACATCATGGAGGCATATTAATTAAACATACTAGCACAAGGAATCACGGGACAAGGTTGCATGTCGTAAGGGCTCCCTACACAGTCTTTACCGCCATACAAAGGAGCAGGATTGTTGCACATACGCGCACGCGTTCTTACACCATCTCCACACGTCTTGGAACAAGGAGACCAAGGCATCCATGTTGTCCAATTGCCATCAACTTTATGAGTCAAAATTATTTCATTAAGTTAAGTAAACTTCTTAACTTTTATTTTTTTTTTGGTTTCATTTAATACAGAATGCAAAAACTAATTTACCACTACATGCACTTGCATTGCATTGTCTCATTTCTATCGAGTCTCCGGGACACGGCGTCCCTCCGTGTGCTGGCACCGGATTAGAACAATTTCGTTTACGAGTCTCTATTCCAGTTGCACACGTTACACTGCATTTGCTCCACGTTGCCCATTGGGTCCATCCACCGTTCACTTATGGTTGAAAGAAATTTAACATACACTGTATTTATTATATACTGTTTGATAGATTTTCAGATTTAAATATTAACATGTTTCGGTATGAATTTTAAGAAAATATGTACATTGTTAAAATAATTTTCTAACGAAAAACATGTTTGAAAAAGCTCGAGGAAACCGGGACAGCGCCAAAGAAATTTTGTCAGTGTTTACTTTAAAAAGTTAAATAGAATATAAAACTTAGTTCTTAGTGACTTAAGTATGGATATATTTTTTTAATAAAAAGAATGATTGCTCACCAGGGCAATCATGTGAACAGGGTTCCATTTCATAAGCACTTCCAACGCAGTCTTTTCCACTCTGCAATGGTGTTGGATTAGTACAGGAACGAGCGCGTGTTTTTGTTCCATTACCACACGAACTAGAACAAGGGGACCACTTCATCCACTGCGACCAGCCACCATCAACTTGATGTATATTTTCACCATTTAAGCAATGACCTTCCTCTATTTTATTTTGTTTTATTGAATAAGGAAATAAAAATTGGTAAAAAGCATTGTTTTGATAATATAAAAAACCCTTTGCAATATTAAATGTATAATATACCAGGACACAACGAAGAGGAACAAGCACGACCTTCATTGCCATGTCCAACACAGTCTTTTCCACCATTGGAAGGGACAGGGTTACTACAGTTTCGAGAACGCATCTGTGTCCCTCCCCCACACGACGCTGAACACGTGGACCAAGAAGTCCAGTCTGTCCAACTGCCATTAACTAAACAAGGTTAATTAATTAATTTATCGGTACGTCTGATGCTGTTTAAGTTTGGAGAAGACTTTCTAAGTTTTTGGAACTTGTGTCCAATCCCTTTGACATGCTGTCAATATGTTCAAAACAAACAAAACTGTTGAAGTTCTTTCTGATAAATTTTACTCAGAAAATAATTATTCTGAATTAAATTTGTACTTAATATACTTGTATGGTTGCAATTAAGCAATACTAACCTGGGCATGTAGTAAGAGAACACATCTGTATAGCATATTGATCCCCGATACAATTTTTCCCGCCATTCGAAGGAGCAGGGTTATCACAAGAACGTGCTCGGGTTCTGACACCTGTATTGCAGGTCTGGGAGCATTTTGACCAAGGCATCCAGTTCGACCAAAGACCATCAACTTAATCACAAAAAAAACAAATAAATCTTTCCGATTTCTTTTTCTTTTCGGATCATGAATACATGTAATGGAATCCCTTGCCGAAATTTAGAAATTTAACTCGTTAATTAATCTTGCCTCCAAATTAATTGTACATACCAGCACAAGAGCTTGTATTGCATGCTCTCATTTCAGCCGAATCATTAGAACATTTAAGGCCTCCATGTGCCGGTGTCGGATTGGAACAATTTCGTGTACGAATCTGTATACCCCTTCCACAAGTTACATCGCATGTTCCCCACGCATCCCAGGAACTCCATCCACCGTTCACTTAATTAGTCAGAAAATCTTCTAAATTAACTTCAATTTACAAGAATGGGACATGGTCACTAACGTTTGTAAATATTACTAATCACAAGAAATCTTACTAAATTAATGTCGTTTTCCTAATTCATGGATTATACTGATTTAAATCTTACCTGGACAGTTTACTGTTGGACAGACCTGCATTTCATACACATTCCCAGAACAATTTTTTCCGCTATTTGAAGGCGCGGGGTTGTTACATGTACGTGCACGTGTTCTCAACCCTCCAGTACCACAGCTACTAGAACAAGGGGACCATGATAACCAAACTGACCATCCTCCATCAACTTCACAGGAAAACGTAATTCGAGTATTTTATTTCTGACCAAATTAACACAATTAGATTTTTCAGACCAGTACCTCTGTGGTCGCCATACTCACACGGAATTTCACATCCGTTATATTCTTCTCTATTTCTTGTGAAAAAAATGTCTATCATCAATAATCACAATTAGCAACATCAATTTTTACGCCACCTAACTGAGTGTATGAATACTGTGGAATCATCATTATACATGTACGTGGTGAACTAATTTTCGAGGATATTACAGATTACCCTTCTCTACGAATTTACATCGAACATATTGAATCTACCATAAAACCAAGTAATAATTACATCCCCCAAACATGTAAAATTTTGCTTGCCCACGAACTCTGACCCACACGAATTAAAATGAGTCTAGGTGCCCTTGAAAGGCATGTAAACCTCATACCGTAAATCTAATTTTAATTCGGTTCAAAATGGTGTTGATAAATTTTTACGTTTCAAAATTTTGCGTTACCACTGCTTTGTTTACATTTCCTTGAAAGGCATGTTTGCTAAAAATTTATCCTCAAAAATTTCCAATACTTACCGGTAGTTTACTAAAGTGCATTGATATGTACAAAATTTTTCATCAAGAAACATATAATAATAATGTTATTTGCAATATTTATGAGGGATTGTGTTTTATATATTTGATTTTTTTTTCTTTCTGGACTATTTTTGACCGCTTTACAACACAGAAGTAATATTTCAGCGTTAAAATATTTTTATAGAATTAATTTTACCTATGCAAGAAGATGTTTGATGACAGCCAGCTTCTTCTTTGTTGGATCCACTACAGAAAGATCCTAATCCAGATGGCGCTGGATTTGTGCATGTGCGATGTCTTTCTTTACTTCCGGTTCCACAAGAGGCATTACAGTGACTCCATGCAGTCCATTCAGTCCATCCACCATCAACTAAAAAGGAAAGCATTTTACGAGTATTAATACTTTATAATTGGAACAACTGAAACAATATCTGAACTATGCAAGTCCAAAAAGTATCTCCATTCTTTCATAAAAGAATTTTGATTTACGATGATAAAATTTAACAAATATTTACAAAAAGATTATACAAGAGACAGAAAAGTACTCACCACTTCTGTGACATTCACATTGGTGGTGGACACAGACATTTATCTCTTGGTGATGACAGTTAAAGTAACAATCACTGTCTACCGTGCAAGCTAAAAGATAACTAACAGTGAACAGTCTCAAAAATCCATAACCAATACAAAATAATATGTGAAGAGTGAATAAACACAACCCCCCGGGAATGTTAATTTTAATTACGCAAAATTCATTTTCTAAATAGTAAATGTCTTCTGTTTAAAAATTGAAATTTACACTGTACACACATGCACAATTACACCGGTGGTTTTGGGTACAGTATGGTTTGGAGTCATGACAGTGCTGATGTGAACAATCTCCATCCGTTGTACAGTAGTTATCTACAAGCAATGATTAATCTAAAAAGAATTACTTAATATATACTTGTTTCTGCCATTTGAACTTTTACCAAACACATTGATTTGATTGGTTCTGAGAAAAACTTTTGATATTACAAAGACTTAAATTAGGTCCTGTTATTGTTGTTAAGCATTTTTATATAAATTTCAGCATCTTTCATATCTGACAATCATTTAATTCATTTGGAAATATGCACTTGCAGACAATGTGCAAGACCATGATTTAGTAATGGACATGTATTATAAGACAATGATGCAAAAAATCTCTGAGAGAAAAGACGGTCCTCTTCCACTAACGAAGACTTCTTAAATTACTGTTACTACAAATCAGAAGAAAGACATACGTGAGCAATCACAGTGGCCATGTGAGGAGCAAATCGGTCTTTCTGAATCGCCATGACAGTGATGGAAGGCACAGTCGACATCACGGATACATGAATCCCCAGGCCTTCTTTTAACTGTAAGATGTATGTTATTTTAAAGAAATTAACAAATTAAGTAAATATTTACAAAAATATATAAATTTAATCATTTATGGGAAGGAATCTTTATTTCCAAAATATTGTACGTGTTTAATTTGTCTCGTACGTAACATACGAAGGGTTATCAAAAAGTTCGTGAACTAGCGCCATAAAATTAAATCGCTTTAGGTACATCAATGGATTTTAAAATATCTAGTTAGCATCATCTTTTCTATCTATAGAAAAAACATAAATAATTAATTTCATTTTTAAATGAATTAGTACTGTTTCTTTTAGCATTGGTGTGTCCAGAGAGCACAGGTATGTGTTGGCTCAATTGTTCCATAAGATATGAAATTTTAAAATCATTCTGGAAGTTTTATGAAATTTTATCATAAAGTTTACATGGAGAGTCCAAACGATTAGTGCTTTGAAAATGACGTCAAAAGGGAGGAGGGGTTAAACTTTCCTTTTCAAACATTCTATAAAGGATTGCCCCTGAAATAACTGATATAGACCTAAGAAATGTTTACTCTATAGCTAAAGAGAAATAATATACATCCAGGGTCCTTGTCTTTTTAATGTCAAAATAGATTCTGAGAGAGAAACGGGATGTATAGTTAATGTCAATTTGTGGTCAAGGTGTGAAAAATCAATCACGTCAAAAATGACGTTAATCATGTGTTGTAAATATTGAACTCCCAAAAGCAAAAAAAAAAATTATGCTGGCACAATCAAGCGAAGATCTCTTCCAATATATAAATCCATTTGGAATATTTTTTTCATTGAAAGTCGCTGTTCATGACATTGTCAAGTCATATAAAGAAGGCGGGTTTAAGTCCTCACTCAGCTCCAGGGACAAAATAAGTTATGAGGTAGAAGAAGCGGACATTGAAAAACTATGTTGTCGGACGTTATGAAACTAAATGGCGACAGTGCCTTGTGATCATAGAATGTCGTTTTTGTTTTTAAAAAAATGGGCAGAAAATGAACGTATCAAACTAAAATTTTCAACATTTCTTTATGTTTTGTTGTTTCATGTTCCATGTACATTTTGAAAGCACAGACTACATAGTACTAAATTTATAGCCTCAGTCCACGAACTTTTTGATAACCCCTCGTATGTCTGATTTTCGAAGAAGCTATCTCAGGACACATATATTTGATAATACATGTATTGAATACTCCGGAGTACACCTACAACGAACTTCAAATGCCAAATAGATAAAAGAAAAAAATCTGTTGGCATTCTGCTTAAATTGAATGTTATAGTCGTTTTGTAAATAATTACTTCCTATTTTACCAATTTTTTGAGTAATTTTCAAAACAATGTTATTTTTCTAAAAAAAAAAAAAAAATTATTATAATGAACATTTAAAAACTCTCCTTTGCAAAACTACTATCAAAAGTAATTTTAAAACATTTTGAAATTACAATCAAAAAGTTATTAAATGAACATTTAGCTATAAATAGTTTCACAAAAATTCAAAAATTGTTAAAAAGAAGTAAGAGACACTGAAAACAAATGAAAAATTTTCAATAAAAAGAAATTGGGGTTGGAATGTTTGAGTTCCAAAAACTAAAAAGTATTTGCAATCTTGGAAGGTAATGATTTTCATGGTATGAGGAAGGTTTGGAAATAGGTGAAATTAAAAACAATGCAATACCATCTTATTTTCTTCTGAAAAAATCCTATGTTTAACAATTCTACAAAAATCAAAATTAAGAGAGGGACAGTCAAATGTAAGTATTATGCTTATTTCTAATCATTTAGTTATATTTAAAATGTTCAAAAATGAAATTATCAATCAGCGAATTGATTATATCAGGTTCCGATTGTGTTTAAACGCAAATTCAATTTCACCTTAGTACACGATGTAACATTTTTTTCAGTATTTGTATGCTAAGGTCATATAGGAAACACATTTACATAATTAAAATACAATCATTTCGAACAAAATGTATATAGATAACTGGTTCTGAAAAAATAATGAAAATAAAAATTCGAGTAAGTTATCAGAGAGTCATATTCAAATTAACTCCTCCCAAATGTGAGAATTTATGCAATTTAATCGTAGATTATGTTTTCTTATCATTTTAGCAATCTAGTCAAAATGTCATTTTAACAAAATCTTCTCTGAACAACTTACACTGCCTTAAGAACTATATATAATAGAAACATGTTATACTTTTAAAAGGCAGAATACTCACGTATTGCATGTTTACTTTGATTTTGGCATACATTTGCGCAATCTTCATCTTTTGTGCAATTATTGCACATGTCATTTCCATAAATAATGGGAAGTAAGCCTGGGAATAAAATTCACGTAACACATATATTTGCATAACAAGTTCCTTTTGAATTGTCAAGGAAAAAAATAATTCCATGGCAAAACGTAAATAGAAATAGAAATGCAGGAAAACTTAAATTTATGGAACACTTACAAACAATCACCACTGTATATAAAATCAAATGGTAAAGCATTTTCTCTCATTCGAGATGATTTTTGAACTCTCTAGTGTCAAACTTCTTTCTTTTATCTTTGAATGTACTGATTACTACAAAGAAGGTTTGCCTTACTTGCGGGCAATCTTTCACCAAATCGGCCTTATTTTACTGATCAAAATAGCACGCAAACTTATTTTGTGGATTGTTAAATAACAATTTCTTCATTACTTTACCATTATCACAGAGTTTGTGCATGTGTGTGTTTTCTTTTTCTTTTCCTCTCTCTCTCTCTCTCTTTATGTAACTATATATTTTAAAATTTTATTTTAACAAATTTTATAATTTTATTTCAACAATTTTCAATAATACTGGCTTATTGTTTCAGCAAGCAACTAAGAGAATGAGCAGTAATCAAGCGCTTTGGAGCAATACAAGTGGGTAGCAGAGCACACACGGACCTCTAAACACAACAGAAAAGGAATCCAGTGCCATGGTGGAGAGAGCACACCCTGTAGGGGCAATTGGGGTAAGTGGAAACCTGGGGTATACACAACTTTTCAACCTGTGCTCTCTTCAAAAGAAGTCAAATGTGTTAAAAGGTGAAAATTCCAGGTCTTGTTTGTCATAAAAAAAGTTTTAAGTAAATTGCACACAGCCATTTTCTTAGTGTTGTAATAAATACTGCAGAAATCAACCATCGTTTAAACAAAACATGTTCGCCTTTAAGCAAAAGGTATTCACTATGTAATTTTATCAAAGTGTTACATATGACATGAAAGTATATTCGATAATTGTTGATTTTATACATCATCCCTGTATATCTATATATTTTCTAAATGTCTACTTTGCAAAGACACAACAAACGAAAGCAAGTGTCTTGATGTAAAATATTTTCAATAAATTCTGCTTTATAATGACAATAAATACCAGTAGACTCTCGCTTTTCAAATATTATAATAATTTACATACAAAATATTCTATGTCAATGAAATTCTTCTATCAGTCTACTACAGTGTAAATGTTGAGATGTACAAGTTTTCTATATGTAAATTGATTTTAAGTTTTAAACAAAAATCAACCTATATCAAGATTTTTTTTAAAAGTCAGGGTTACACATGTACCAGGACTATAGACATGACGTCACATTGCAGGACACTTTGTATGGACTTATTCAGGGTTATCCGTTGCCTGGCATGGGATAATTACACCGTCAGATAGGTTGGCGATTGCGAATGGTCCATTAGAGACAATACAGACTATGCTCCCTAAATAGACCAATTTCCATCAACAACTGTGAAGATGATTTTTTTCTTGAAAAATGGTACCAATTATGCTTTCCATAATCTTATCCACATATCGCATCTACTCTGTTTCTTCTGATTTTGACATCCATCATACCTTTCTAAATTTTCATAATTTTTAATTGTCCTGTTCAGACACCATGTGGTTGTGTTGAATGTTAACCAAAATTCATGTGCATCACAACTCCTTCGTTGTTCTACGCATTACCAGGTATTTAATATATTTATTTTCTTAATGCACATACATATTCGTCTGGTGTTTTATTCAAATACGTACTGTTAATTACACTGCATGTAATCTTTACTTTTCTTTACCTGTTATGTTGCTAGTACATGGGTCTACTCTACTAGCCATAGATTTCCACTTAACATTTTTTTTAAAAGGATAGAATTAAATGATTAACCATTGGGCCTTCCGTGAAATTTGAGTCAATGTTCCTCTTCTAACAGGCCCAAGGCATGCTTCTGGGGAAATTAAAATCATCTAAATTTTAATTTAAAATCATTCTGGAGGACCGGGTTTCAACAATTTGAATCTATTTATATACATAGAAGTTTTTTCTGTAAGTTTCAATTTTTTTGGCCCTGTAGTTCTTGAGAAGATCTTTTTTTTAAAAAATATGTCACCAAATTTTACTATTTCTTACTTATCGCCCCTTGAATGAGGGAGTGACCCTTCATTGTGGAAAATCTTGAATCCTCTTTACCCAAGGATGCTTTTGGCAAGTGTCATTAAAATTGGCCCAGCAATTCTGGAGAAGAAAAATGTGCGATTCAATATTAGATAAAGCATAAAAAAGTGTTAATATCTTTTTAATATATAACTTTATTAAATAAATGCCAATTCGGAAAAAAAGACATTAAAATTCAGATTTGTCAGGAAATTGTTGTCTTAGAATAAAAAAAAAGAAAGAAATATCAACAGGAAGTCTTATCATCCTCCAAATTTTCCAAAAATATTTCCAATGTTATTGGTGGACATCTGCTGTTCCCATTTGAGCATTTCTTCAATACACTCTTGAGTTCTGCACCATGTTTCTAAGCCTCGAGTCTTCTCTCGGCGATTCCCATTGACAGGGGCGGTTTCACTTGCCATTAGTATTATTATTGTTAAATATATCAAAAATATGCCTGAAAGCAAAACAGGAAGGAAATTCAATAGCTCTAAACTATATCCAATCCAAGTATACCAACAGGTAACATAAAAAAATGAACAGAAATGTTTAGTATGAATTGATCATGATAATGGGGAATAATTTTATCTAAGTGCATAACCATAAATTCTTTGGGAGAAAACTTACTTTTGGGATGCATATTCTCTGATGAAAATTTTATTCCATTAATTTTTGGCACTTTATTCGACAGGTCAGTCAGAACTTTTGACGTCACTCAATGATAAAGGCAAAGTTGATCTTTCCTATGATAACGTTTATCAATTTAGTACAAATATTCCGCACATATTTTACTATAATATTTCTGTAATTTCATTATCATCAAACTAAGAACTTTTTTCAAAAAATTGATAATGTAATGTTTAAACATAACAGCCATTAAAATATTTATGAACCTACATCGCATGAATTTTATAGTCATACATATTTAAGCTTCAATTTTAAAATCTAAGGAAAAAATTACTTTTACCATTCCTAATTTTTACAACATTCAATACGATTGCTCTAGAGTTGCAAAATAAGGTTGATCGTTACGTCGCAGTTTGGAACCCACCTTTGGAAGAGACCGAATAAACCGAGGTCCCGTGCCTAAGAGGTGCGTGCATTAAAAAGATCCCTCACTGCTCAAAGACTGTAAGTGCCGAGTACACGGTAAAATTTGCGGCCCTCCACCTGGAATTGGTGGTATCTCAGTATTAGTTAAAATCCCCGAAAAGGGAGTTAAACAAAGAAATAAACATTAAAACAAACATAACGAAACATTGGAATTATATGAAATTTATATGTGAGTTAAACGTTTGGACAGGTTACTATGAAATTATGAAAATTTTTACAATCATGCAGTATTTCTTATCCGATATGTATGCCTTTATGTCAGTAACATGAATAAATGCCACAGTTCAAAATTAAGAAAATCCGCTTTCTACTTTTTTTAAAAATTAAGATTGGAAAAACATACATGTATCTTAAATGGAAGTTAACAAGTGAAATTACACAAAGTAACTGAATATACAAAATTGTAAATGTTTGTGCAGTAGAAAGAATAAAGGAAAAAATGACAGTACTGTTGTTTATCTTATTAAATTCAAAAATATAAAGTGAATATCGAGCCCATTTGTGACTTTCAACATAAAAGATGGAACTTGTATTAATATTCAAATCTTTTAATGTTTTGTCTGAAATGTTTCATACCAGACATTTATTTGGTCATTTTTATACTTTATTTACTGCAATGGTAAGGTTGCAAATTCACTTACAAAACTAAGTTCAAATAGATTTTGTCAAACTGTTATAAAATAACCACCATTTTAATGACTTCTTGCGAAACGGGGCTCTTTAGACTTGGTTTTTTTCTCAGCAAAAATATTTTTGAAAAAAAAACAACCCAGAAATAATACAAACTGTGAAAAAGGCATATATTCCTAAGATGGGAAAATGAATCTATAGATCTATCAAGTGATATGAAATATGTCCCAATAATAGGATATATATTTGGTATTGGTAACAAGGCCTTTACAATGACCAAAGAATTTACGAAATTTTTACTTCAAACAAGGCTACTGAAATCATCGTAATATCATCTTTTATGTCAGTACCCCGTCGTCTCGGTTTAAAAATTGATCGTATTATAAAATGCTTTTGAGTATCGAATGAGTTGGAAGTCGTAAACACCATATGCAATGTGATGGCGAAATATTACTATGCAAGTAATAAAAGTTGACGATGGAAAAAGTGGAATCATCTCCTTTGTTATAAAGTCATAGTAAAGTTGTACCTTATCGTCTAAAGTCAGTACAACTTCCAATATGAAACAGAGGTGGCAGACTTTGTGATGTCGTTTATCTCGAATTCGTTGGTATAAAACAAGTCAAAAAAACCATGTATGAATGCATGGAAGTATTAGTAACCATTGTTAATTGAATATCTGAAAGGACACAGCAAAAATGTTTTCTTCTCATGTAGAAGTTTTTGAATATAAGTAAAACAAATTAGAGGAGTTACGAAACTTGCTTGACATTTCTCTAGTCATCACATAATTATATTCAAAGCTATTAGAATTAAAAAAATATATATGTATTTTATGTACCCTTAACATAAACTTAGCCCTACTTTTAGCAAAAAACTTCAGAATTTTGAAAAGTGTAGGTTATTTTACCTGCATTTTATTAAGTGCAGGGTATTTTACTTGTCCCACATATTTAAATATCCCGGCCACTGCTGATTTACATTTATGAACTTCATATAAATATATCTGAAACATCATAAGCAAGCTACACCCTATTTGCACCTTGCAGTACGGTAAGCATGAAATACTGTATGCCGATTAAAAAACTTATTATATATATACATGTTTAAATTACGATGAATGTGTACATATCTGTATGAAATGGAGAGTATATAGGAAACTTTTCGATTGAATATTCTAGACTTAGTCTTGTAGTCTGTTTTACCCACATAAGCAAATTCTTTCTGAAGATTCTGTTAATATGAAAGTAAAATGTGTCAAAATGAAAAAAAAAATTGATTATATGACAACTAACTATACAAAGTATGCTGACATTCTAGATAAGAAATAGGAGCTTTTTAATAAAATATGGAATATTTCCCA